TATATATATTTATACACACGTACATCTGTTTGTGTTTGTATACAAATACACACATATAAATACATACATTAAAAAAGTGAACTTGTTTTGAGTGATCCCCAGGATGGCCAAAGTCAAGAAATTTTCATCTCTATCCAATAACTTATCAGAATTTATATTTTCATTAATTTTAATCTTATGCCAGAAGGGATTAAATTTGTATTTTTGTTTACAGGTTACAGGACAGTAACTTGGACAAATAAATTGCTGTTGTGGATAGTCACCATAACACAACGCTCTTCAGAAACTCAGCTTTTTAAACTATCTTGTCTGTTCATCATTTGCAAACCTCAAACAGTAACTAAACTTTGTTTTAATTTACACTAAACTTACAAGTTCTGAGCAAAAAAAACCCCACCCAAACTAGATTGAAATAATCCCAACACTGACTGAAGAGACACGACTTGGTGTGATTAAATTCCACAAGAAACGGGAATCCCTAAATTGCTGAAGAGTTACTGTGAAATACACAGAATAAAATCTATCACACAAAAAGCAGCCAATCAAGAAACTGGTTCCACACTGGTTGAGGTAACTAACTCTCTACTAAACTTTAGTTTGCTACAGTTAAGGGAGTTCTGAGAAGAGGCAACTGGCGAAAGAAGCCAACTCGTTTCTGTGAAGCGATTTATTTACTTCACACAATCAAAACTAAAGACTATGCTAAACAAAGACAGGGACACGACTGCTCTCCACAGATACAGCAAGGGGGTAAACACCAGTTTGAAGCTAACAAGCAGCACTGGAACAAGAACAATGGGGATAGTATTAGACATAAATAAGTTTAGGCTGGAAATTAGAAATGGTTCTAACCATCAGAGTGGGGAGATTCTGGAAGAGCATCGTGATGGAAAAGGGGGCAGAAAGAAAAGACCAGAACCAACAAAGGCTGTTCCTCCCAGGAAGGAGCTCAGCTGGTTGTGCAAGGGATCACCCTGCAGTTGCCAGGGGCAGTGCTGGCATCTCCTCCCAGCCTATGTTCTCGTGTAAACCAGGCTACCTTCTGTCCCCAGATGAAGTGAGGTGACTGCAGTGGTAACTATGCACAGAAAAGTCAGAGCAAGGGAGGGCTTTTCTGCGGTAGTTACGATGGGTCATACTTACAGCAACAGAGGCCCACTGCCATGCAAAACAGTGACTGGTTGGCATCTGACCATGTGAGCGACAGCAGGCAATAAGAACGGAAAATAAGAAGCAGAAGACAAAGCACCACCAATCAATGTCCGAGTTGCCATTACAATACCCCTGCTATTTTCTCAACAGATGAATACAGACATGTGAAAAGCAAGTTAAACATGTTGTAGCTTTCAACTAAAGGTATTTTGATCATTTGCTTTCATTTGAGAAGCCCAATAGGAGTATTTTCATTTGTACCATTTTAGGCCTTCTAAAACAACCAAGTTCCCTTAACACATCCAAAGTCCTAAGTGGGAAGTGAGAAGAAAGGCAACGCAGCTGCACATGAACTTACTAAAAAATTTGGATGAACTACAAATTTGCATTTACTTAAGATTTTTTTTCCAAGTCAACCAAGAATCTTGACTTTATCTCATAACGCTTGAAAAATCTTTCACTTTGTTGCTGTCACCAAGACCAAACAGTCAACTTGCTCAACAGAAAGCAAGAGAAATGAAGAGAAACTCATGCCAATCGTGGTAAAAGCATTGCAGTTCTCAGAAATTGTCTTCACATACAGAATGCTTTTGTTTTTCAGATTAAACAAGAATGGAGATATTACCTAGCTATTCACACAGCAAGAAAGCTTAAAATGAACAGTTAGCCACAGAGGACAGTTACAGAAGGAATACTTCTATGTTGCCCATTTAAAAGCAGCATGAAAACTGAGAAACATACATCACTAACTGACCAGAAACAGTTAGTCAATACACCAAGGCCTGCAAGGTTTACAGAGCATGTATGGCTCTCTGTTGCTTTTTGGATCGCAATGTTCTTCCCCCCCCTCTAGTTTCCAGTCTAAAGTTAATGGATAAAAAAGCTGGAATGGGATGGAGACACAGGCAAACCGAGGGCTGTGTTTGCAGAGCTCCTCTGGAAGCCTTACCGGAGTCATGCGAATGGCCGGGTGGGCGCCGCAGCCCTGGATCGCCTTGTGGAGGGTCTCGCTGAACATGCTGCGCAGCTCCATGGAGTGGCAGTACACAGCGTCGATGCGCGGCCACCAGTCCAGCGCCGACTGCAAGCACAACACAGCAACGCTCACTGTGAAGCCAAGTCCTGCACTGCCACTTTATCACTCATTTCAGACCCCTGGAGTTACAAAAGCTGTGGTGTAACTAAGCTTTCCACGAGTATTTTACACTGCATCACCCACACCTTAAATTCTCATCGTGAAACTTTTATGATTTAAAACATTACTGACTTAAACGTGTAACTTCCAACTCCGCCGCTTGCTACGTTACTCTTCCTTCTGAGCAAGCACAAACGCTGTAACCACAAATGCAGGAAGCCATCGCGGATTTCAGGATGCTGAGTGCTAGTGTGTAACACTTCAAAACAAACAACGTGCACTCAATTCACTGTGAAACACTGAACAAAATGGGAAATTGCTGTCTGAAGTACTTGATAATATCTGAAAAGCTGTATTACACCACTGCATCTACAGGAGCATTTTCTCCCCCATTTGCTAAAGTGCCTAATACTGTTTCTTCTGAAACACAGCTTTTTCATTATGTTGTTGGGATAAATGGAATAGAAAATGTTTCATAAGTTAAGTCAGGCTGGCTGCTCAACACTGACTATTTTCATACTGAAGAGAATAAAAATTGAAGTCATATTTTAGTGACTTAAAGCGCAGTAACAAATTGAAGGTGAGCAACTGCACAAACTTTCAAACTATTTTTGGTACTCAGCATTCACTACAGATTTTAAACTATTTCAATTCATACGGGACCAAATCCCTGAGCAAAACCATGAGGGCACCTCATCCCCCAGGTTCCTGTGCCAATATGCTAGAAGTAGTGTAACTCTGCGTGTCCTGAGAGTGTTCTTCATGCATCAAGAAAGCATGACCCACTATAAAACCAGAGAACATAAGATTCATCTGTCATCCTACATCAGAGGTTATTAAAGCATATTTGTGCTGAAATGCTATACTGGAACACAAGCTCTCAAACTGGGAACCCAACTAGTGGACAGCGTGAACAAAGATTTGTATGTCCTTCCTTACCAGCAAGCAACTCCTGCTGCATGGGTACTGGCTACAGGATTTGATCTACTATTCAAACTGTATTTAATAAGCAGATGCTGATCTGAAGAGAAGCCACAGATTGAGCTGATTAAATACTTTCAGAACTCACATTTGTGATGATTCGGTGGAGTGAATTTACCAGCACATAATGAAATGTTGATGGGGAATTCTGTGCCAGGCAGATCTACAATAAAAACACATAAAAGCCACTTAGGAACATCTTTGTCTTTGCCATCTTTCTTATCACACTGCACAACAGAGTGAAGCCTTTTTATTAAATTGACAAAGCTGTCAAATCTAAACAAGAGAAAGGAAATCAGCTAAGGAAAGATTTATAAAAACATGCAGGGATTTATTCCTAAGAGATATTTATACAGTTGAACTCATTTATGAGCTTCCAGCTGCTGTTAGTACATCTTTCATAACTGACAGGTCATCAACAGTATGTGGAGAATGACTTACCAGTAGGCAGCGTTCTCACCTTAAAGTGTTGGTTATTATGAGGGTTTATGCGGAAGCAGGAAACTAAGCAGTCAATCATAAGGTCTACATCTGCATTTTGATTGCCTCTTGAAAAAGGTTTGCTTGGATTAAACAGCAAATTCTGTATTTCAAAAAAATAGAAATGTATAAATCAGACACCAAGATTATCCTTGTCTACTGTCAATACAACGTTTCACACTTACACCCACCAGGGTATTCAATTAAGGAGAAATGTAAAGTTTACTTCAGTATCTTAAAATTCACGTTTCTTCACTGCAGATAGGAAACAGTTTTACCTTAAGATCTACCACCATGGACTGCACTAGTAGGAAAATGACGGAATTATCTTCCCAGTTGATGTAGGTAGAAGCTTTGCACAGTTTGACACAAGCAATAGCAGCACTTTCAGTCAGCTGTCTGCTCCCACCGTGGCCTGCAAGTGCCTTCCTCAGATTGTCCAGGAACAGTTTCTGCACAATCCAAACCAGGAATAGTTATAACCAGAGCTTTGGTAATCTGTGGGCAGGGTTTTTAGATCCTTAAATATTAAAACTAAACAAGACTGTGTTTTCTCATCAGAAATCGTGGATACTGGGACTGCAAAAAACAACTTGGTGCAGCATTCTGGAGAAATGCTATGATTATTAAAGTTCATTTTGGTCTAGGGCAATGAGAGTGGCACAGAGATAGATGGTTGTTTACTCTTAACCATCATGTTTGCAGCCTCATCTAATTCAGCATCTGCTACAGGTGCTGCAATTAGGGAACACTCAGTACACACACTGCAGACACTCAGGGCAGGACAACACCGGCCAGCTACAAGCAATGACACCAGGGGAAATCACAACACTGGGATTTGGATCTCCCAGGAGATATGAAAGTTCTGATGTAACATTCTTTGGGACACACTATCTGTATGAATTACTGACAGTGACAGAACGTACGTTAGGAAAGATCTTAAAAACAGTGCATAGATTTACATATGGAATTGTAACGTGCTTTTTAGGCAGGAAAGACCAAAGAAAATGTACCTTGAAACAGAGAACAAGCAAAACCAAGCATCCTCTAGAAATCAGAACCAGAATTCAGATACTTCTCTTACCTTGTTCATTTTAGTTTCTTCCACCACATCCTTTGCTATATCTTGGATTATCTCTGGACACAGGACCAGGAGTATGATTTGCAGTGGCCAAACTGCTGCTTTACGTTTTGTGCTTTCAGCAAAGCCATCCACTAAGTCAAACAACTTCTCTGCACAATCTGCAGAAAATATAACCCCAAGTTCAATAACAATTTTAGTTATGAAAAGGTAAAGAATTAGTATAAAAGGGCAAAAGGACAGCTCCAGCTACACAGAAGAAAACATTGCACATTACTGGCACACTACTGGGGATAAAACGGTCTCAAACCCACTTAAACACATGGTTTACCTTGAAAATGTAAATTTTCCTCTCTTTTTGACTAGACAGAAATGCAGGTGACGTTCTCTCAGGTTTTTCATGTATTAAGACGAAAAAAAATACATATTTAAAGAGTTTCCAGCTTTTGGTTTTAATTTCTTTGTATTGTGAACCACAAAATGAATCACTTTTTAATTAGAAGGTGAGTCAGGAGAGACAAGAGACAGCGATAAACCCCTGCCTGCCCTGGGAAGGGCTGACAGAAATGTGGGGCTGTTCTTATCTGCAGGCTGCACAAGAAAGAGAGAGGGCCCAAAATGCAAAGGAATGTGTCTGAGAAACTAACTTTGGAACAGTGTGTCATTTGTTATGACTTACCAGCCATATCAGTCTGAGGTGTTTGATACAGCTTTGTGAATTCATCGGGGTAGTTTTCCACCCAGTTCCAAAATGCCTGAGGACAATGAAAAACGCCTTTACATTCCAGAGCTTACAAATATTTCTTCCTGAATTACTGTATTCAAATGAAGAAAGATTTTACTCTTACTTCTAATCACTCAACATCTATTGCAAAGTACATATGCATGGAAGGGATGCACCCACTTACACTTCATAGTAAATTACTGAATTGCAACTACTCCTAAATGAGAGCAAGTCTGCAAATAAGCAGCGAAACAGAAGACAAACATTAAAAAACTCACCTTTTCAAGACTGTTGATCACAGCCAATTGAGCTACTTTCTTAAGGGCTTTAAACTTGAATACTGTCTCTGTAAGGGGAAAACATTTCTGCATTTAGAAAAGATACTTGGTTCTAAAAAGTGACACAGATTATAAAGAGACATGAAGCACAAAGCAGCTTTTAAACCAATGTGTTTCTGTGACTTAAGTATTTTAAACTATTTTAGTAAATATATGACTATTTGGAGTAAGAGATGGCAGTAAAAAGAAACAGCATTGTGTCATCTCTAACTAGCTGTATTCAGATAACAGTATTTCAAAACACAGGCTCAAATCATACCTTGCAAGAGTCGCTTTAGTTTGGAACAATCCACACTGATGTACTGTAAAAGTTCAATATCATGAACATCAGCATTATCTTCTGAACAAACAGTCAGTTCCTGTAATCTAAAAATATGCAAAGTAAACTACTTCTCAATGGGATTATGTCAGAGAGGTATGAACACATGCCTATGGTTGTACACATTGGAACAGCAGGGGAGGGTTATCTGATCTCCTCAGATAAACTTTTCCAGGTTTAAAATGTAAGATGGATCCTGAATGATTAAGAGTTAACATTCTATCTTGTTCCATCCTCATACTGAAAAATGAATCTAGAAATACCAGTGATGAGTCTTACAGGATACCAACACCATCTGGTGACAGTCTGTTTATGCCCAAGATTTGCCCAAATCCTTCTGTTACCTACCATACTGTAGCAGTAATCTTGTCATCTTTCCAACTAAATATTAAATTTGTGGAATCGTGACACCTTCGGCCTACTGCTCCTTAACAGCAAAGTCTTGCCCCAGGTCATTTCTCAAGACTAAAGCAGTGACTGACATTACTTAACATCACTGAGCTACAACCACCCCTTGTAAGCTAAAGAAGGGCCATATTTTTTCTGGTCTGATCAAAGAGGACCAAGTTTAATCACACCAGTTTAAACACAACAGCATTTTTTCAGACTTTTGCATTGGGTGATTTACTAAACGTCTCATCAGATACCAAGCCACTAATAACTAAATCATATGTTCTCACAAACTAAAGATTGCCATGTCTTGTTCCAAAGCTACAGATGTGTTTTAGACACGGAATGTGATTTCTAGTACTACACACAAAAGCAGTTCTTCATTTCTTCAACGCCAGGGAAACTTAACAGCCCTCGCTGGGAATGGGAAGGTCCCCACTGCTGTGCTTTTCGTGCCAAAAATCCCCCAGCTGCTGTACAAGGCCTAGAAATATGCCTAAACAGGAAGCACAGGTCAAAAGATCAGCAACGCTAACTGTCGGCAAGCTGACCCCTGTGGAGATCAGCAACAACTGGTCAAATATTTAACTGTTCATGTACAGGCCATCTGAAGTGAAAAACAGGTTATGGAAAAAGCTCTGTGTGCCAGCTCAAAGGGATGGCAGGAGGGGATTTGGAGCTTGAGGACTAAACCATGCTACAGACATCTGAATAAATATAGATCCATGGAGCAGATTCAAAGACTGTCAAAAAATTTCAACTGGAAAATACTTCCTATAAAAGGAGCAAAAGAAATTGTTTCCATTTCCATAAGCAACAAAACATAATCAACCTATTGAGTAAAACCACATCCTCCATACTGGCTGCCAAGTCCATGTTCTTGAAGCAGAAGTTATTCTAGCTCTGCAAAAGCTTTAAAAATACTTAAAATTTAAAAACATTAAATAATTTTAGACTGATTTCTAAAATGCAAATGTTTTCCAGTATGTGGGAAAGAAGGAATTGTTCTTACATTACAAGGAATATATAAATCTTTGTCTTGATTAAATTGGCACACTCATTGCTATGGGACCACATGAGGCTGCCCAAGCTCCACTTTTAGCAAAGCAAGGAGGATGTTAGTTGTGACAACGTGTGCCTGGAGCTAAGCTGCTTCACGCAACTTTCAAAAAACATCAAAGTTTTTCAGTACTAAAAAGCTTAATACACAACTCCAGTGGATTGGCAAATGCTGAAGCATCAGAAGGATCTGGAATAAGGCAAAAGAGCAAAGAATAGATGGAAACTTTGGGCCTGTCTCTCTTCTCACTTAGCAAAGACAGTTATTTTTACAGTCGATGTGCTGTGAAACTCAAGGCAGTCAGAAGGCGAATGGGTCTTTTCCAACAACTAAAAAACTGTCCAGCTGTTTTGTCCCCTTCAGGCCTAAGACAGATTTGACATAAAAGCCTTCAGGCACGAAATACCCAGAAGGAAAACAGCCCTGGGGCTCCAACCAAGCTGCAGACAAGCTGCAATTGTGCATTCCAAACAACACAGGCAAATGGATACAACCCATCATCTTCAGCAGCCTTTGCGTCCCAAAACACCTTGCTCCCACAAGAACTTACTTTATTCAGCTGAGTTACTGTTCTTTTCCCTCTACAACAGAGTTTGACATGTTCTTATGAAAGCAAATTAAAAATGCAATAAATGCAGCTCACAGAAAAATCTGCTGGCAGTGACCTCGAATGTGCATGAAACAGGTTCATCTGGTGACCGGAAACTGAAGTGAAGTTTTGAGAGGTAGAGGGAATTTCACTTAAGAACTACCTTGTTAAATATCATCTAAACAGTTAACTTTTTCTGAACTTAGAAGTCCTACAACTCCTGATGGATGTTCTACACACCACTATGTAGTAGATCTTCTAATACACTATGTCAGGCTACTGAGAGCACCTACCTGGTGGAAATGCGGCTGAACACGGCATTGAAGTTATTGCAGCTCAGAGAAAAAAGAACCCCAGAGGCCGAATTCCGCAGCTCAGCTGCGTGCTGGTTCCCTTCACGGTAGGTGTGGATGAAGTGGCAGATTTCTGGCAGCAACTGTTTCACCAGCATAGTCTCGTCTAGTCGCATGGTATCCTTTGGTTGCTAAAAATAAACATGCAGTATTGCATGAAATTCCGGTTTCGAGGCAAAAACCATGGAGCATCTGCCACTGGTAAGTAGGCACAGGACCTGAACCTAAACTTCTAACTGCCTGCAGGCTAGCCCTGGCCATAGCATAAGTAGTCTACACAGAAAAGGCTTCTTTCCATTTGAACGGCAACTCACATCATTCAAACCATCTAACACTTGCAGCTAAGACTCCAAAATACGTAGGACACTAAGCTGATCAATGTTATCAAGGACCAAGCAAAAGATCAAACTAGTTTTTGAAGCAAAGCATATTTACCCCTGTTGATCTGTCTAAAGTATTAGCAGTAGAGCATTAACTATCTCGGCTTGGAATGGAAGCTCAAGGAGCAAAGACTCATCCTCACCTCTCTTTTGGGTAGTATTCGAACCACTGTATTTTGACAGCAAATATTTTATATTAAAAAAGTGAACTGAAAAAGAGGTTCTCCCTTTCTCTTGCCTGGGATTGCTCTACGTGAGTCAAAAATGGCTTAACTTTCCTGCAACAGAAACATCTCATTTTTGCCAGTTTGCACAGTATGAGACATAAGGAAACTATTTACAAAAGAATTCAAAGTGAAACTTTGCTCTACTAAGAGCAAGTTTTAACAGAGGGTCAGCATTAAAGCTTTCTAAAATTCTACCAATGAATTTACCATAGGGAATTGGGAAGTTTCAGAGACTCCCACTTAGTTGACCTGAGTCCTGTTGCCATGAGAACTTGACGAAACATTGAGCAAGAACAGGGAGCAAGAAATACGGCTGAAGATAGCGCAGAACACAACGCTCTTTGTATAGAACTTTGGCTCAGTCTTATTAAACATACACTGGCTCAACTTGCTCTCATTTGAATTGACAAAGCAAGAAGTATTCAGCACAATTTTAGGCTGTTCAAATACCATCATCTATCAGGAAAAACCCCTAACATTTCAAACAACATGCATGTAAGGAATATTTTAAAAGAACTAACTTCTGAAGTTGAAACAGCTTTTCCAACTCCCGGCACTGAAGACAAGAAATGCCAAGAAGAGGTATTTATCTCAGCTGTACAAGCTGAAAGTGACTCTGGAAAAAGGTATTTACCTGGCTCTTTTTATGATCTTAGAAGAATCCACAATTATTCAGCCTGTTTTAGTGCTGTAGTGTAAGATACGCTCACAAAGCTAACCATAGTAAGGTCAATACCTTATAAAGAAAGAACCTTCAAAAACTGCTGCAGGGAAACAGCAAAGAGCTTAGCTGATTCCATGACATTCCTCCAGGAATACAGCTTTCAAAGTTCCTTTCTTGCTAAAGGAATAAAGCACTGCAAACTTTGCTCACAGTGAAGTTTGGCTTTGCAATTACACAGCTTAGCACAGTAAGTTGTAGAACCGTTTACATCCCAAAGGTAATAGAAACTGCCTTGCAGCACAGCTCTGACTGGAAAGCTCAGGACTGGACTCCCAGTGGAAGTTTGGACATGGTGAACTAATGCAATCTAGGAAACACCTGCAAAAGTAATCTTTCGAATAGCGATAGCAAAGTCTCTGCTGTATACACAAGCTCATGACAAATTACTTCAAGAAACGAAGAGTTTTAAGAAACGTAAAGAAAAATCACCACTGTATGCAGAAAACTGAAATACTTGTACTGAATTACCTGCTACTTTTAACATGATTTACTATCCCATTACTTTTTCTGTCTAAATTGTGGGATGAAAGCATTTTGATCCATCTACTCAAAAAACAGCGAGCAGTTCATGCCACAAGCATTTAAAGCTTAAAAAAACCTAGTGAAGCTTCGTAGCCACATCTCATTCTTCATTTGGGTTGTGGCTCCCCTTCCTCCAGTTCACACACGCCTCCGAGTATGCTCGTGTGCAACTCTTGTTAACAAATTATTAAGAGAACCATTATTTGTAGCTCCGCAAATCAGTTGAATAGTGGGAAGGGCAAATTCAAAAGTTTATTTGCATCTTTTTAGCTGAAAAAAGATCACTGATTTTAGGCAGGAGAAAAAGCACCCCTAAATCCTTCGTTTATCAGTTATATCAAGTACTTGCAGCTATAGGAAGGTTTAGAATTTTTTAAATGGCATTAATCCTACTTCGCTCTAAAGAGATGAGTTTTAACTTTAGCACCAGTAGTAACAGATACACAAGCATTTGACTTGTGTGCTCTAACTCATTTGATTCCAACTTAGCAGTGGCTTGTGCAAGCCTACTCACCCCTGCCAGACATTTTTCCAGTGTATCCAAGATAATCAGCTGAGATAGATATAAATTCTTTTCAGCAGTTTCTCCAAATATTCTCTAGAAGTAGAAAGGATACATCTCAGACACAGAAATTTGACTTGTAATGCATTAATATAGCAAAGTGGCACAGAAGTTATGGCTCCTTCACAGCTCTGGGTTTAAGCTTAGACACTAAGCCAGCAAAAATCAGAACAGGAATGAAAACATTATTGCTTAAGAAATACCTTTGGCCAGTCTGCAATGCCAAATCTAACAAGCAACAGATACCACAAAGCACAGCTGGAGGTGCACTGCAGCCCCTTACCTCCATCAGGCCTGTAATGTACTCAGAAATGAAGGTTATACCTTTCCAGGACCTATTTTGGTATCAGTTTCTGCTGACTCTTTCCCACTTACCTATTTCATTGCCAGCATCTTAATAGAATTGATGTTACAACAAATCCATATTGACAAGCTTATCAGTGTTGCAAAAGTTAGCACAGATCACAGGACCAAGCACAGGAGAGGCTCCAAAGAGACCCCACGCTCCAGATGCAGGAGGAAGGCAGAGTGCCATCGGGTGTTGAAGTCAGCACCCAGTTTCACTGCCAACAGCAGCAGCTAGTTCCAGCAATAGTAAGACAGCAAAATAAAGCAGAAAAGATTTCACCACAAATATGCTTACACATGGGACACGTGTAGAAGTCACCCAAAGGAATTGTATTTTAAACCACTGGAGAGGTTACCTCAACTTCAGCAGAGTGCAAACCCTCCATGTGCTAAACTAAGACCATGCTGACAGTCTGTTGGTCTCTCTTGTTTCAGCTACAGAAACCCTTCCAAAATGTTGTCAATTCATACAGTAGCTCCATCCATCAAACACAAAAAACGTTAAGTCTTGCAACTCAGTGCAAAGCAAATGTTGACTTTTTTATTGGCATTTTTAGCTAGGTCTTTCCTCTGAAAATCTATATATCATACACAGAAACTTGTTTTAACTGCATCGTTTTCTCATTTATCGATCATCTTACACATCAACACATTCCTTCATGCCTATGGAGTTTATTTAACACAAATTCTCTCTAAAACCTTAGGCAGCCTAAAATCCCCAACAGCAGGGCAATCTATTTTCAGACTTTATCAGTCCTTTGTAGTGTTTTAGCACATCTCTACACAGCTGACATCCAAAAGAGCTCACTGCAAACCATCCTACTAAAACCATCAAACCCAGTACTGCTAGAGTATGGCCAGTTCTGTTACCTGTTTGGGAGATCCCACATGATCATGGATCACATGGCTTCAAAGCTCAATGAACTAAACTTTTCTCATGACAAATCCAAAACCAGACCTTCCATTGAAAAAAACAAAACAAAACTGCCTCTTTTTCCCCACAAAGGATTCCTGAACTTTCCATTTTCCCAACTTGATGGTAACAGTCATTTTTCTAGAGCTGACACTATGGACATCCAAATTCATCTTTTTCTTTTCTAGGTTTCTTCTCTCTTTGGTTCCACTGAGATCTATTTTAAATGACAGTTTTAGTGATGCTGATGAGTCAAATATTTTTACGGATTTCAGGAATCATTTTATAGTTCCCTTGGAGGCAGAAGAGAAAACCAGTACATGGAATGAAAGCACCTACTGAGACACCTGGCTCTAAAGATTTCTCTTCGGGAACTTGTTGGAAAATCACTTTGAATCTCATCCCTTCACAGCAGCCTACTGCCCTCAAGCATCAACATGAAATGGTGTCATGAGAGCCTGTGATCTGTGTGAAATAATAACTGGAAGAGACATGTATCACTCCCACACATTCTTCATTCATTTTTCTCCCTGATCACTGAGGTATCCCCTTGGAGGTCTGAGTCTACAGTGGTGCTCTTAGACAAAAGGCTGGTTTCAAAGATTTTTCTTAGAAGGTTCTGACTGAAACTCATCAGGTAGTTAAAATATATAGGTATAAATACACACACAATGCTAAAACATCCGAACAGCCTGGAAAATTCAAATAGGATTAAATCCTTTTCCTTTCTTTTTTTTCCCCTTCCTCCTTTCCCAAAATGATTCCTGGCAGGATAAACTGGGGGTGGGGGGAACCTCTTAGTGCTGCTGCTCAGCAGCTCCTTTCCCTGCTGCATTCCTCCTAAGGACTGTGCCAGCCCTGCTTCCCTCAATGGGATGCACCTTTCCATGGATGGCAAACATCTCCCCCACCACCCAACAAGCGGCACATTCTGCTGGTATCGAGCTGTTCCTCAGAGACTCACTGGAGCCTGAGGTACCCTGTGCACCCCCTTCCCAGCCAGCCTCACATACTCCCAGCAGTGACAGAAGATTCCTCTTAATCCCCACCTTCCTTCGCATTGCTCACCACAATCCTCATTGCCTCTACACATAACACAGCTCAGCACTGGTGAACTTGAGCACATGATGAAAAGAAAATAAATGAGTGTAAAAGGCAAGCAACAATTTGAGTAAATTTCAAGTGACTCTCTGTGTAATACAAATAAACAACAAGCACTTGGAAATAAATCACCCAACAATCCAAAATTAGAAAACTTACCATGTTATTAACATTTTTTAAGATATTGGTGAGACCACTGATGACCAGGGAAAACTTGTACTTGGAAATGTTTATGAGACATTCCTTGTTGTGCTCCGTACTGACTTTGGTGTGGGTATTCTGCTGGCCAGCCTTTATTGGAAGCTGCAAGAAGAGGGAAAGTATTGTCAGCTTTTCTACATGGAAATCTGCATCTTTAAAGACAGGTTAAAGATTCTGAATCACCAGAAACAACCCCAAAGAACATTCTACAAGAGACAGCTACAAACATGTTGGTTATTTCATTTTCTCTACTTTCAATTTTCTTCTAGTTACCTATAAAACCAAATACTGAAGTTCACCCATTCCTTTTTCTGAATGGAAACTAAACCTCTATTTTGTGATAAATTTTCCACAAACCAAATGTCAAAACCATCAAAAGGAGCAGAAAAACATAAGACAGAATTCTGAGAAGAAAAGTCTCTTTATTTCAACAATTGGCTTGTTAAATACCAAAAATCTTCACAAGGCTAATACCTGCAAGGAAAAAATCTGCATCTTGAAACATGAAAGGAGGTAAAGCCACAGCAGCTCACCCAGCAGGCGAGCTGGAAGGTGGGGACAGTGGTTCCACACGCATCCACCTCTCTCATAGGACAGAACCAGTCAAGAGACACAACTGAGTCCCCAGAGGAGCCACCACCAACAGCCTCTGCAGGACATGGGTTACTCGGGGGTCCCCACACAAACACCCCCCACCAGCCAGGCAATGAGGTGTCAGCCTCAAACATGCTTCAAGCACCCACAAGCCAACCACAGCTTGTGAGCCCCGCGCTGATGCATCGGTTCCCGTTCAGATAAGGTTCAGAGTGACTGCACAAACTGCTCCTCCTGCTGTGTGAACACTGGGCACTTTTGTTTCATGCCATACCCAGACTCCACAAGGGTCACAAGCAAGCCACCTCCCAGGCTCACATTCACCTTTCCTGTGTGCTCCCCACCAGCACCAGCCCCCCATGAATGTGAAAATGTGAGGAGTGGAGCTTCAGAAACTCCATTTTACTGGGGGTCTGTGTTTTTATAAAGCAAACAAACATGGGAAGTACAAAGGAATCACTCCTATCACCTCTTCTTGTAATTCACACGTGCCATTTAGACTCTAAAGCGTGACCTAGGAAATCACTGCCTATAGAAACTTCAATTGAAACAAGTTTCGACCAATTTTGACTAGAATTCTTGATAAATGTGTATTCTGCAAGACACCAACAGCTCCGTCTAAGTGCCACGATGTAGTATTTTTGCATTAGAAAAGGTATCTTAAACAAAAAAATAAATTCAGAGCAAATTAAATAAAGGTTCCAAGGAACTACAATCAGCTTTAGAGCTGCAAAGTGCCTAAAGAACAACATGCCAGGCTGGGTCTCTGCAGACTTGGTGAGAGGACTCCTCGTATCCACTCACTTTCGACTCACAAAGTGGCTGTGGGACCTCTGGCACCAAGCGCAGCATCAGGGGAGCACCCTCTGGCTGCACAACCTCTGACAGCCACACAGAGTGTTCCACAGGACACCCAAGGTACCTTCACTCGATTTAGTGACTCTTGCCAGTGTTCAGGCTGCAATGAATGCTTTAAAACAGGGAGATGCGTCCCAACGCGCTCGCTGGAAAACTGGAAAAAGCAGAACCAACAGCAGTTGTGACTCAAGCTTTGTTTTCATTGTTGGATGTTATTTTTACAAGACATTTTCGGAAGTCATTAGTGCAAGACAGATACATTTAATTAAAAATTTCACCATTCCTAGTAATTTTATTTGAATCTCAAGCCTCCGTGCTGACAACAGCAGAAATGCTCAATAGCACTGAGTGATAAAACACTTCAGAAGTGCCTCTCAAAGAATCTCTGTCATAGATCTAGTCCTGCATGCTTCCATGCTATAGAAACATCAGATTGCACACTTCTGGAGCTTCCTGCCACAACAGCAAGGTCACCAAGGAGTAAAACTGCTTTTTATACTACCATTTAAAATGGCAAACTATATAAAAAGGAAATATTAGCACTGTTGGTTTGGGGTTTTTAGTTTCTCGGTTATTTCCTCTGCTCACTGACATGCTGGAGCATTATATGTCCCCACATGGAATGCAGTGCTAGCACTGAGTGACCAAAAAGAAACTATTTCACTTCTATACAAATATCTATAAATTTAAACATTACCAAAAAAAGAAAAAAAGTTGAAATTTTACTTTCATTGCCTTTGATTTTATTTCAGAAAAGAGGAAGATTGACACAAATGGTTTCCTGGACAGCTTTTATTGGAATTAGAAACACAAATTAAAGCAAAAAAAGCTTAAATATAACTGGAGCTTCAAACTATGAACACATGGAGCATTTTGAGCTCACCCCTGTTCAGCAAAGGGACAGTCCACTACTCTAATTCAGCTTTTTTCACCCTTGAAATCGGAAGCAACAGCCAACAGCCTCGTAACCCCCCTGGTGCACACACAGCCGGCACGCTGCCATACACCTCTAATCCGCTTTGTGTCTCGCTGAGGTGCCAAACAAGCTCCAGAGCACAGGGAATGGCGCAGAACAGTGTTTTGGGCCTCAGTTTGCCTTATGCTATGCAGTGGACAGAGACAAAATAGGTAGATGAAATCTGGAATCTTTAGGATCAATTAAAGAAGAACATTGCTGCAGAAGACAAGGAAAAGCCATTAAGCAGCCGAGCCTGCCAGCTGCAGTGATACAGTACAAGAGGCAGTGTATCCTGAATTCAGGACACAAGTCATCTTCTATATCAGGTGTTGCTGAAACAACTAGAAAAGCAAACCTGTAAGATGAAGCACTGAAGCATCTACCAGCTTTCACCAGCCATGCAAGGTCCCTAGCTGTTCAAACACACGAGCTGACCACACAGACAGTTTAAGTCAAACCCTGTCTCTAGAAGTGCATTTGACTTCCATGTACACAGCCCTGTTTACCTTCTATAGCATCTCCAGGTCTGCTGCTGATGCAGCTCTGAAACTGGGCAAACGTACTGGTGAGAGACACAGCACCAATCTTTCCCCTGCATCAGGACAGATGACGATCAGATGATGATCAGAACCAGATACAAATCTCTTTAAAAACCAACAGGCATCTTCCTTCCAACTATAAACCCTGTACAAAGGCATTATTTAGTAAAAGAACCCCACAACTAAACCTTCAGAAGAACACAGAACTCTGAAAGTATCTTGTATAAGTTGCTGAAAACTAATATTTTCAAAAGGTCAGCTAGAAGCTGGCACTGGGAACAAACGTGTATTTTCTGCTAACACAAACTGCTGTGCCACACGCAGAAGGACCATCAAAGCACCTTGATGCTTGTCAGCAGCTCATTACTGGACTCAGGTAACATCTGTTGCATGTGGGCCATTCCTTTACCTATTTGGTAGGACACCATCTGTGTGCAGTATAGCACTTGGGTTTGAAACGCATTACACACCCTGGTTTAGAAACATAAGATCAAAGCTGCTCCAGGTTTATGTTAGAGACAGAAGAAGCAGCACCCTGTGTGGTTAAGGGCAGTGCTATCGTCTGGCTCCGTTCTTCGCTTCTGTGGAAATGTGTTTCAGGCAGAGCAGCTGTGGAAAAGAGTTCCATCTCCTGCACAGACCAGCCCTGCCTTACAGGACAAGGTGCTGTAACTCACTGAGACACTTCAAATACAACTTACTACTGGTAGTTTCTTAACAAGCCAAGATGAACAACAGCAATGAAAAACCCTGAGCTGGTGCTCGCAGCCAGTGCTTTTTCAGGTCTCTGGCTCTGTACAGATTTCAAATGCTGTGGAGAGAATCAACAGGAGGAGGGAATATTTGCTTTAATTTAATGCCTTCTAATGAAAGTGAGAGTGGAACGCTCCTACTGGCTTTCAGTTTATACAAAAGCTTTCTTAACTGAAAGCAATCAGATTTCATAAACTACAAATAGGAAGCCTAAACCATAATCCACATAATAAAGGGCTTCTTTCTTTAAAGCATCTCATAATCACTTAAGTCACCACAAGTTTATACAGGATTAATACCTTTTATGATATCTGACAGTTTAAAAACAGTCTAGATTTAAATGGTTTAGGCAGTAAGGCTCCTCTGACTACGCTCTGAACTACCTCACCCCTGCATCAGCCTTCCCATGATTTCAGCTTGTAACACATTTAAAAATACTATAAAAATACAGCACACGAAATTGTAAGTGAACATTTCCATAGGGGAAAAAAAGAGATAATTTTCTTTTACAAAGACCTGATTGTGTCTGAAATCACAGAGAACTGCCCTGAAACACAGCCTGGCCCCTTTGTGCTACTGCAGCCTAACGCTAGCCTGATCACTGGAAGTTTTGAACTCTTAACAACTAGAACTACATAGGAAATGAGCCGAGAGATCACACAGGTGTGACACGAGGAATGAGTTGTGGCCTCACATGGACCATCAATGGGCTCCTTCTGCACCAGCTGAACCCTGCCTTCAAGGGTGGCTCACGGAAGAGGCCACTGCAGCAGTTGTCATCTCCAACATGGTGTATCTGAGAACTCTATTCAGGGAGCCACTCACTGGTTAACTCATAAAGCTGCTCTTGCCAGTCATTTTGTCCTCACAAAAGCAGATTTGGGTTAAAGCGGCGTTTCTAACAATAAACAAGAGCAGACAAGAGCAGGCTGGTTTGCACTGATTTTTCTTGTTTTCAATACAGATTAGCATTCTCTCAGTTTGTTGTTTCATCTGTCTTAAAATGAATTCAAGCACTTAGCAAATGAATGGGAAGCCTGTCTAAATCTATAAATTTTGGTGAAAGATGGTTACATTTCCCTCCTTTGTAAAGGAAGGAAGAAACCTTGCAAAACTTGGTCTTCTCCCACGCAGAAAGAAAAACCCAAACAAGACAAAACTAAACAACCCACAACAAAGAGGAGCTCCCTCTCCTCACTCTAACATACCTATGATACAATAAGTAGTGGCTCCCTCAGTGCTGAATCAAGAGGTCCTGCATTTAGAAGAGCAGACGTAGCATGCAGACTCAAAACCGCCTCACCACCACTAAAATAATGTGCATATATTCGGCATATTTTATGGAGTATGAACTTGATGCTCAACTGAGCAATGTAAAACGTAACAAGTAGGAAACTCAA